CCCTAAAGATTACTTATTTCTTAATGTGCACTGTGAGTTTTGAGCCAGGACTTGGTATTTCTGCAGGGCGACTACGTACTTCAGGTTTTTAATGCCTTAAATAAGTAAAACTACATTAGAAAAAGTAAAATTCAGGAGTAAATGTTAATAAATGTGGTGTGACCGTTTTCTACTCCACTCCTACGCTTCCAAAACAGTAACCCTCCTACGAAATGATACGTCCATAGTACTAGATCAAATTGATTTGGTTTGGTCGCTTGCTCGGTTTAACCGCGCTGGAAGGGGTTTGCTAAATCGTTCCCCGGTTTCTTGTCCCTTCAAATGTCGTTCTGGGCTTCTCCGTTTTGGTCTTGTGCGCCGGCGGTCAGCTGCTTGCAGACGCGCTTCTGCCTGCAGCGTTTCCACTGATTTGCCGCCGCAGCAGTTGGGAACGGGATAGGCTTTATTAAAAAGCTAAAAATTTCCTGCTCCGTGCAGGAAATAATGAGACACGCGCTAAGAGGAAGAGAAATCACTTGGAGAATGTTGGCTCTGTGCTGTAACGGAGCAGTAAAGAAGCTGCTCACCCTCCAGCTGCTCCGGCTTACGCGTAACTGAACACTGGCAGCTCCTCCATCGGTGCCTGACCTGATTTTGTTTTCCAAAGTCTGTCCTTGTGTCGGCAGGGTGACTTTCTTCTGACCTTGGAGCTGGGATAACATCTTTTTTTCCCCCCTGATGATGCCTATCTCCGTGCTCTTGAGGCCCCGCTGTACAAACGCAGTGGCAAGGGGGTCGCGCTTTGACGAGGCTCGTTAGTTCGGCGTTGTGATCTTTTCTTGAGCACCGGGTTTTCTCCTCGCCTGCCTTGTCAGTCAGAGCGCTGCCGGCAAGCGCGCAAAGCCTTCAATTCCAGTACGAAGCGTGTGCCGTGGCTTCAGTATTGCAGAATACGAAGTTAAAAATCCTCCGTGGCCTCATTTCCAGGAGGAAAAAAATTGATTTCAAATAGTTGTGGCGTATGTTGGCTTTCCCATTAGGAAGACAGTTTGTTAATGGATGGATTGCATATGGGGAGTGAGGAAGGATGTGTCTGGAATAGGTCTGTGGTTGTGCCCAGGTGCTCCTTGAGTAGTTGAGAAGAAAATCTTGCTGCTCCTGGAAGTATTTCTGGATCAGGGGAACTTGCTGGGAGGATGAGCAGCTCTTGGTTTGCTTTGGCTGCTCCTGAAGCTCATTTTGAAGCAGATTTTTGGGAGCGGGGACAAAGTGATAATCCCCAGCCTCAGCTGGTGAAGGAACCTTTGCTCAGTGTGGTTTGGCTTTTTTGTTTGTGGGTTGTTTTGTTTTGTGGTGGGTTTTTTTTTTTCTTTTAAAACATTTCAGTAATTCTGAAAGAAATGGATGGTTTGAGGAGCTCCCTGGCATCAGGGTTTCCCATGTCTAAAGGTCTCTGGTTCCTCCACCACTGGAACCGAAACCTTGAAGCTTTGTCACCAGCCCTTACTGCTCCACGTCCTGTCCCACCACGCGGTGAAATATGTCCCGTGTTGAGTGAAACATCTGGTAATTGAAAAAATAAACTTAAAAATCTGTTTTGAAGGGGTCTGTTTGCTTAATCTCTGCTGCCGTTTCTCGGTGGTATCTGGCTGACGCGTCTCTTGCAGGTACGACTCGTACGAATCCTACGATTCGAGGTCTTCGATGAACGACCGCGACATGTACCGATCCGGCTACGATTACAACGAATCCGAACACGACAACGATAACGCCTACGAAGGTCACTACGACAACTTCTATGGGAACCGCCGGGATCAATACCAGAACAGAGCACGGGATAACTTTGGTCAACGGGGTCAGAACTGGGGTAGAGATGGACGCAATAACAGACCCATGGCGTCTTCCTATCCCGGGCGCATGGGCGGACAGTGGAACGAGCCTCCCCAGTCGATGGGATCGCGGGGTCTCGGTCCCCACGGCTCCTCCAGGCTCCCTTCCCTCTTCTCCCACAACATTATCCCAGAACTCAGCATGTTCCAGGGAATGCGAGGTTTCTCGGGAAATATGCGTTACGGAGGAGGAATGATGAAACAACGAATGAGGAGAAACTGGAAAATGTGGGACTCGGATTTTAAAGTAAGTACTTGTGCGATATCCTCCCACCTGCTCGGCTCGGATAGAGACTTATTTCCCAACAGACCCGCACGTCCTGCAGGGAAGGGCTCCAAAATACACTCTGGGAAGTGTTAATACATAATTCTGCGTGTTATTGGCTTTGTAGCACGTTTTCTCCGAAGCAGACAGAGGAGGCTGCGCTCAGTTGCGCGGCAGTATTGATAGGTGGGATGGTTTAATCCTAAAAACTTTGTTTTCTGAAGGTAGGAGAATATCACGGCTTCATTTCCTATATTACGGGGTAGAGGTGTGGTGGATTATGGCCTTCCTGATCAACTCTGCCTGTCAGAAGCTTAACTCTCTAAAAACGAGTAAAATAGGACATGAATGGTTGCGGAGGGCACCTGCTCATATTGCTGGGATTAACCTTTCTCTTCTCTCGCAGCCCCAGAAAAAGAAAATCAAAAAAGATCCCAGCATGAAGAAACGGAAGCAAACAAACAGCTCCGACGAACCCGACAGCAAGGCGGCGAAGACGGACGGCTCCGATAACTCTGACTCCGACAACGGTAAGAGCAGAGCGGCTTCGCGGCACGCGCGGGAGCGGTATAAAGCCGCCGCTCTATTTCCGGCGGAGCCATTGTGCTTTGCCACGGGTGTAACGCGGTGGCAAATCTGTTGGTGTCGATCTGGGTTACTTCTCTTTATGCTCACTGTGGTGTTTCTTTCAGAGGAGGGGACGGAGGGAGAATCGGGAGAAAAAGAGGAGAAAGAGGGCTCCAGAGGCGTAAGTAACTCTTGAAAACTACTTTATCATGATTAAAAGCTGTAGTTCTGGTTGGAGGTGCAGGAGCTGGTGAGGGCAGATCCCTGGACTCCCACATTATTCCCAAACTGAATCAGGGAGCAGAGGCTCGGGCAAGTAGGGGGGAGAGGATGGACATAAAATGCTCCGTCGAGGGAAGCGTGGACGTTACAGGGGCTTCCCAGCTACGCCCACCAGCCGCAGCATCACTGTGAGATGCTTCACTGTGTCAAAACGCAGTACGATACCCGCACGCAAAGAGCTTTGAGTAAGGAAAACCCAAAAAACAATTGCCTGCGACGTGGAGAATCCCAAAGTGTGGGGATTACGTTGCCTCGCTCTAGACGGGGACCGAAGGCGCCCTTCAGCTTGGTGGAGGGGGATCTCGCGGGTACGAGACCCGCAGGTGTTGCAGCCGCATCTCCTGCCGAGCAGGCGCCGTGCCGGATTTCCCCGCGCTAAGGGGGTGCGGAGCGGCCAGATCCGGTGGAGATGTCGCCCCTCCATGCGGTGCTTTGAGTGCCTGGGGAGGGTTTCAGGGGAAGGGTGCCAGCAAAGGTGTCAAACCAGCCTCCAGATGTTCGCTTTCTCTAGATGGTTTAACTTCCTGATGTTGCATTTTTCTTTTTTTAGGAGGGGGAAGACGAAGAAGGAAAAGATTCTGAGAAAGGTGAGTTGGTGTGTGCGATGGCTCGTTTGCACTCCGAAGCTCCGTGCGGAGTGTAACCCCCCTCCACTTGAGGGCTCCAACATGGCCAGGAGAGAGATTTCCAATTAAATCTGACGAGTTTATTCAGGCTCCTTCGGTCCTTAGAGTCTGTTCGCTCCGTTTGCCTTGTGGCTTTGCTGTCCCTTCTGGTTCGTTGTGTCTTGGTGACCTGAGCTAAACCTCTGCACCTTCTCAATGAAGGGCGATTTTGGCTTCTGCGCCTGTCCCTGAGTCCCCTGGGGACGGGGATGCCGGTCCGGCGCCGTGATAGATACCGGAGGCGGGATCCTACCAGCGAGAGCAGTCGAGGCTCTTGCGTGTGAGGCTCCGGTGGGATTGCATCGCCGTAGCCGGCGGAGAGAAACGGGGGAGCCCTTCCCAGGGCCACGATTCGCTTGCTCTTCAGGATGAGACCTGTCAGATCTCTGCTGACGGGGGGACAGGGGACTAGCTCAGCTGTAATGTCTGCATTTAGTCAGATGAATCCCATCCTTTGTGTCTGCTCAGGGATAAGGAAATGCTGTAAAAGCCCTGCTAGGGAGGAGCTGGATCCCTTGGTCAAGGTAGGTTGGTGAAGCTGCTAGCCTGGGGCTTAGGGAACCAGATTTAATTTCCCGCTGTGCCGTAGACTTGACTTTGGGTAAGTTGTTTGGGCTGTGAAACGGGATGGAGCTTTCCGGCTTGGAGAGATGGGACCGGTCGGAGAAGCACCGCGATACCCAAAGGGAGCTTAGAGAAGCAGGAGGGCTGGAAAGAAACCTGTTGGCAAGATGGGGAGGGGGAGGTCCCTGCTGCCCGTCCCACCGGTGGGCGGCGTAGATTTGATCCCGGCACGCATCCGCACCTATGCCAGGGCGGGTGGACAGAGAAGCAGCTTTTCTGTCCCAAAAATAAGTGCTGTAAGTTGGTTCCCCTTACCCAAACTTTATTGCATTGCTGCTGTTAGCTTTGAGGCTGGGCAAATCGGAGCGGGTGGTACTTAATTAGTTACAGGTTTGCTGATTTTAATACTTAAAACCTTGTAAAACCAGTAGTAGTAAACAGTAATTAAAATAAAAAGCTGGGAAACCGCATTAGAGTCTGTCTGCCGTGGTTCTCCCCTCTGCCCCCCACCCACCAAGCCTGTGCCAGTGCAACTCTTTTTGGGGGGAAAAAAGCTAATTTGGGGTGGATGGCACTGTTGGATAAAGCAGAGGTTGATCCGTAGTTGGCTCTGCGGTGTCTCTAGGTTGTGTGGGTTGGTCGGGCTGACGACTAAACTTGTCTAGGGAAATTCTCTTTAATCAGGTGGTGTCCTCAAGTAGTGCCCTGAAATACAACCTGCTTTAAACACTTAGGTGCTTTAACAATTCAAGAAGAGATCAGTCAAATCAAACGCAAATTGCAGGCGGGCAAGAAAACTCAAGAGAGGCAAAAGAAGAGGCATCGGGATCGCATGGTAGAAAGGTAACGTCTCCTATTTTATTTTATATTTTCTTTTTTTTTTTTTAGTGAAGTTGCTTCCTTCTCTGGCAGGACTGTAGCACTCGCAGCTGGGGTCCGTCCTTTTGTTCCCCATTGTCCCAGTGTTTTGTCTGTTCCTTGTAGAAGCTGCTTTGCTCTCCTGCCAGTCTTCTTGCCGTCCACACTTAAAAGATAAATAGAAACGGGGAAAACCTCCGGGAAACATCCCGGAAATGCTTAAAGGGTTGGAGACTTCCATGAGTATGTCTGCCACCCCTTAAACAGAGCAAGGGGGAGTAGAGCCGGTGAGAAAGCAGTACCCAGCGGAGCCGGAATGGATTGCTTTGAATATCGCTTCCATTCGCCTCCCGACTCTCTCAACAGGATCCAGTTTGTCTGTTCGTTATGCAAATATCGGACCTTCTACGACGACGAGATGAACAGTCACCTCGAGAGTAAGTTCCATAAGGAACACTTCAAGTTCGTTGGAACCAAGCTGCCTCAACAGACAGCTGACTTTCTCCAGGTGAGCTTCCGGCTAGGTTTCTGACATAGGTTAAACCCTAGGTTTAAGAATTTGGGGTTGGTTTATTATTATTGTCGTCGTCCGTCATTATTTTGGAGATGCTGTAAAGCTCCTAAACTGCCCCTCTGAGTAACTGTGGTGGAAACTATTAGAGAAAGCGGAGTAAAGTTGGGCTAAAGCGTCAGAGGTGCTACTCCAGCTCTGCCCTCTTCTTTTGAACAGGTCGCTTAACGTCTGGTCTTACTGGTTGCACTGGTAGGAAATAAAATACTTGCCCACCACAGATTTTGGTGGCCGGAGCAGATGATTTAAGTGCTACCCGCAGGACGATGCGCGGTGGGATTTGTAGGGCTTTTGGAATGAGCACGCTAGAGAGATGCACCTAAAAGTGAAGGGGGAGAGGAAAAAAAAAATTAATACCAAATATTCTGCCATACAGGAATACGTTGCTAATAAAACTAGGAAAACTGAGGAGCGTCGCAAAGCAATTGAAGACATTAACGCGGTTATTCAGCAGATTTATAGGGACCAAGATCTTACGCAAGGTAAGATTTACTACCTGTGTGCACGCAAGAGTTCCTTTGTTGTGCGTATTGGCTGCCTTGTCAACTCTATAAATAGTAAAGTAGTAAAAAATAGTAAAAAGGGGAGGGTGGGAACCTGCTGGTGTTGCTGAAGAGTAAAACCTACTGTACGTTCAAGTGTGCCGTCAGCCACTTCAGGTTATTACCCGGCTTTGTGGACGCTAGCTAAATGATTAGCTGGCTGAAGAGATTTTTTTTTTTCTTATTTGCAAACCCGCAGTGCCAATGCAGCTGCAGCTCGTGTCACTCATCGTTGCGGCGTGTGGCCAGGCTTGTATCTGGGGCACCGGTATTCTGTTAACCTGGCTGTATATAACGCGTGCTCTGCTTGGCTCGTTTCCTGCTCCCCAGAAAGGCTGTTTTGATGGTGGTGGAAGCGTTAAAAATGAGTTTATAATGCAGGCTGGAGTAAAATCCATAGCACAGCACAGATCCCCGGATTATTTTCCGGTTAATACTGTTCTTACTTTCCTTTTCAGATGTTGGCATGGAGCATTTTATTAAAAAGGTGGAGGCGGCTCACTGTGCTGCCTGCGACCTCTTCATCCCGATGCAGTACGGCATCATCCAGAAACACTTGAAGTCGCTCGACCACAACCACAACCGCCGGGTGAGTGGGCAGCCTGGCGCCTCGGGGGTCTTGCGGGCTTCAGCTGCGCTAGGAGGAGCTCGGATTTGGATGGTTTCAGTTCGCGTGGTCCCTGAAACCAGGGAGAACTTTGCTTCATCCTCTCCTCTCTGTGGTCTGCAGTTAATTTGGACCGTTCTTGTGTCCTCAGAAACTTCCCCTTTGCAAAAGCTGGCAAGGAAGGTGTTCGCGGGAGGAAAGCACCTTCAGCAAAGCCTCGTGCCAAGCTGAAGATAAGATCTCGTGTCTCTTGCCCCGTTTCTTACAAAATAAACAGCTTTCCTACTTCCCCACTTCCACATACATATAGGATGATTTTGTCACAAGCTTTACTATACCCACAAGCAGCGATCCAAGGCGATGGCTGTCAGACGACATCTAAAATACATATATCGGCACGCGACTGTAAGTCTCGACATGTTACTGTGGCGATTGTTGAGCGGGCTGCGTTACCATCTGCAGCGCTCGGCTCTCCAGCCGTCCTTCGCTCCCCACACCTCAGCAGAATCAAAATGCGCCGACTTTCAACTTCAGTCCCCGGAGACTGAAAGATGAAACGATCCTGCTGGTGGAAGTGCGTGAAACAACATGTGCGGCTTTTCCTTGGCTGCCTGACGCTCGCCTTTCCGAAGCACGGAATTCGGGCAACATGCGGAAAATCAGACTTAAATATTGCTGGGTTGTCACCTCCCCAAATACCTAAGCGTGCTCTGTAGCCTGTTGCCTGCTGCTGAGCCGTGACTAATTACTGGCCTTGTAAGTTAATTCACACAAAATCTAAGTGTATTTGGTTTTTTTTTTTTTTTTGTCCTCCCATACAGGCTATGATGGAGCAGTCCAAGAAATCATCTCTAGTAGTTGCGAGGAGTATTCTCAACAACAAACTAATCAGTAAGAAACTGGAGCGGTACCTGAAGGTAGGTATTTGCAGAGCAGCTTGGTATGGGGTCAAGCTGGTAGCAACGCTTCCGTGCTGTAGGAATTTTGCGGTAGCTGCCGTTGACTACTGAGGGCACTTACTAGCTGAACCTTGAGGCGATCTGGGGAGTTTTTTTTGAGAATCATAGAATCATAGAATTGTTTAGGTTGGAAAAGACCTCTAAGATCATCCAGTCCAACCCTTAACCTGACACTACC